CAAGACCCCTTACGATCCTGGTTGGCGGCCAGGTGAAACGTAGGGTCATTCGCCATGTCCGCGCTTCATGTTTTTATCTTTTAATAAAAAGTCGCGTTCAGGACATGAGTCGTCGCCTTGTGTTTTCTCCTTCTCCACTATTTTCTGTCTTGTCTACTTCTCTTCTTCTTCTTCTTCTTCTTCTTCTTCTTCTTCTTCTTCTTCTTCTTCTTCTTCTTCCTCTTCGGTCTGTTGTTGTCATGTGAGTCTGGTCTAAGCCGTCTTTATCATTACTGTGTGTCACTCCGACACCATTCTCACACAGAGTAACCGACGTAGAAGTTAGACTACTATTGTGTGGCTCTGATATTTTCACGAGTGATGGCTTCGAACAATTCTAACATGAACGACAACCGTGACTGCTACAACTGTGGCCAGCGAGGACACATCTCTAGGTTTTGTCCATACCCTGACCGTCGTTTGAATGGAGGTCGGCCTTCGACTAGCACGGCTATAGTGCCAGCCCAGGCTCCTTTGTTGACTATGCCCCCCAATCCTAACTCTCAGTCGAACGTAGGAACTGTTGCCCCGTTTAATACGGGCTATTCGGGTGGAGAAGGTTATCTCATGAAGAGAGTTTCCTCATTGGAAGATAACGTTGGAAGGATAAAAGCGAAACACGATGCTGATGAAGCCAGAGAACAAGCGCTGCGTGAAGAGGAGGAACGAAAGAAGCGAGAGCGAGATGAAGAGGAACGGCGCCAACGTGACAAGAAGGAGCGTGAGGATTTTCAAGCTCAAATCAATAAGGAGGTGTCAGTCAAACTAGATCAGGTTTATGAAGCAATCAATGGAAAGAAGGACACTCAGAGTGAAGAGGTGTCTAAGTTGAAGGCGAGAATCGAGGAGCTTCAACGACGGCCGCTTGCTGCTAGCACATCCGGCGAAGTGATAAAACCTGCTGAAGATGATGAGGTGGCGCGCCTTCATAGCGAGCAGGTTGAACTGAAGAAAGCTACGGATAGGCGGCTAGCAGCTATGGAAGAGGTGATCCATGCCCTCCAACGGCAGTGTGAAGATGCCGAAGCTAACGCGGAGGTCTGGAAGGCCGAAGCACTCAGGCCTGGCAACAAGAGGGGAGGCGTGGCTATTGGGGATACTCCTATGACTCAAAACAGAGTTAGACCTCGGCTGACTCTTTTGGAGACTCCTGGCGTTGTGAGGAGGGTTGATGAAAGGCTGAAAGGAATCGTTGAGAGACACCAGAGGGAGGTTGATCTTCTTAAAGAAATGAGACTAACTCGAGGTTGAACGGTTAAATAAAAGAAGAGATGGCTCGTCTTGAGATGGAAAATCGAGCCAATACGCGGAGTAATTTGAAAGCGAAACTAGATGAAGCTGCGGGACCGTCTTCAAGGAAGGAGAAATCGCGTGGTCATGAGGTTCGTTCAAACATGAAGGGTAAGTGCAAGGTCGCTGCCAGTCCTGTCGCAATCAATGACAAGGATGCCTTCCTACGAGCAGCAAGAAGGGAGCTACGAGGCTTAAAGAAGGAAGAGGTGGTTAGCATTTGTGAGAAGGAGGGGATTGAGTACACCACTTTGGACCCTACCAAGGAGATGATTGCACAGAAATGTACAGCTAAGGCATTCGAGGGAGATGATGACGAACCAGGTAAGGGTGACGGCACCTCGGTGTTGGTGGTGACCGATGACGGGGAAGGAAGCTCTGAGGGTGACGGGCGTGATTCAACCGCTTCTTAGGATCATGCCCGAACGTGGCTTTCTTGTGGGAAGTCGTGCGCCTATGTTCTAGTATTCGCTCTCTGTCTTTGGACCTGCTGAGGTGTAAATCTGTGAACGCTCTTTTCTGTTTGGCGGTGTGTGGACTAATCCTTGCTGGTCAAATCCCATGGGGCACTAAGTTAATTGACTTCTTCTTGAATTCTCTGTCTCATCGTTACTTTGAGAATGAGGAATGGAAGGGTCCGGTAGTGTATGCACTTTTTTCTCCGTGGACACGTCATTTGTATATCGGTAGTACTGGAAGGGATTTGCAGTCGAGATGGAGGGAACATGTGTATAGGTCGTGTCTATCAACGGTGATTGAGGGAGGGCGAAGGAATGAGAGGCTGTATAAGTGGTTGTGAAGATGTGGAATTCATACCTACGTAATTATTCCTTTGTGCATGTGTTCTTCGGAAGAATTGTTGTCTACGGAAATTTTTTTCATTCGTCTGTTCTCCCCTGCACTTAATAGTAGGGACAAGCCAAGACAGTCTCGAAGATGCCGACCTGGGCTTAAGGAGAGATTAAGAGTGAAGAAACGGGAAAGGGATAGGAATTTGTCTCCCTCATGCGTTGTAGACCCTGTATTCTGTAAGACCTCGTTTGTGACATTTCATTCTGCTGATGGAATTGTGGGCAAGAGTCTTTTGACAATTCTCGAGGACTGTAGATCTAGGTCTGTCTCTCATGCAGTTATTAAGTGTTCAGGAGGTGAACTCCTGCTTGATCGTTGGAAAGTTCTGAAGAGAAAGTATGGGGGCAGTCTTATATCGTGTACTTATGAATGAATGGAACTTCGGCATGCGCGTGGTTGGCTGAAGGGTGGGCTGACTTTGACCTTCGAAGCAATTGTGCCTTTTCTGAATCGATCATTTGTACTTAAGGCTCCTTTATCTGGGTTCTTGAGTGATCCTAGCAGTCGACGTCTGATGCAGTCATGGGAGTTTGACAAACTCATAGTTGTGTATACTGCTGTGAGAACCTTTAGTGAGAAGCGGACGAGGTTTCGGTTGCACTGTCTTTTGTCGCGTTTCATTTTGTCGAAATTCGGTGTTCAGGTAAGGAAGCGTATTGCTGTTCGGGTTGTCTATGATGATTGCCTGTGTAAAGCCAAGATTCGACAACTGTGTGGGCGAATAATATCTCTGATGGATATCAGTTCGGAATGGAAGCTTATGTTGACCAGGCACATGAGAATAGTATGGTGTCGAAATAAGAGTATTGGTGATGTTATCCATAATTTTCGTCGTTTTTCTCGAATGAAAGATGTTGCGTGCTGCTGCAAAGACTGTGACTCCGAACTACCTCGAGTTGATGGTCATATCTCCTTTCGTCTGAACGAGTTTTCAAGACTTCCAGGTTGGATGGGAAATTCCAAGAATTTGTTGAGGCCTTCGAGGCTTCATTCGGTGGGTGCACTTCGTTTTCAAATTTTGTCCAGTTTCTCTGCCCATCCGTCTATTCCTTTTGTAGATCCCTCTAGCTTGTCTAGCAATCTGTTGGAACGCTGTTTCTCAAAACTTGACCCACTCACCTCTTCTTCGATCACTAAAGACGACTTGGTGTCTGTTCGACCGCTCCTTCGGGATCTTGTTTGCAGTTCGATCGACCATAATATGGGTGACACCTTTGCTTGTTGCCCAGTGGTTTATGAGGCCGGTATGAGTAAACTGTTTTTTGATAATCCTTCCTTTGCTCGATGTGCTGATAGTAATAGTGCTGTGTTGGCAAAGTGCCGGAGTATGTACGAAGAAGCAGGTTTGCAGGAACTAGGGAAATGGAAAAAGGATGGTAGTATAGGGAGGGCTTATTGCTTACCAAAGCACAAAGACATTTCTCGTTGGAGGCCAATTTGTCCTTCATACTCTGAGTGTTCGGCGGTGGGGGGGCGTGTGGTTTCTCGGGCTGCTAATGTACTTCTATGGAATCTGCCGAAAGAATCGAACCTGAATCTGCGAGGTGCGGATGGTTTGCTGAAATGTTTGACTGAGGTCAATAGGATCCTGGTCGAAGGTGATGTTGTCATTGGTGCCTCCTTTGATGTGAAGGAGATGTTCTCGAATCTTCCCCACCGGTCAATTCTACAAGCTCTGTCATGGGTGATCGATTACTGGAAGGATAAGGGTGTTCATTCTGTTGGAGTGAGGAAGCAAGGAAAGGGGGCCAAACTGTTGAAAGGACGTACTGAAATGGGCTGGAAAAAGGTTCCTCTACAACTGATTATGAAGTTTGTCGTATTTGAGTTGAAATGTACTTATATCTCTGCTTCCGTTCGCCTTTTGCGTCAGAATGTGGGTATTCCTATGGGCAAGTCGTCGAGCCCGGCGCTGGCCTGTCTACTTTGTGCGTACAATGAGTTTGTGTTTCTGTCTAGTCTCGGCACTGAAAGGAGGTTTTTTGAGGTTTTCGACTTATGGACGATGTCTCTGTTTCGGTCATTTTGAGGGAAGCTGCAAAGATGGATCTGCTGAAGGGGGAGCAACTGATTAGGAGGTTTAGTTGCTGCTATGACGACAACCTGGTTCTGGAAAAAAACAGCGAAGGGAACACCTGGGGG